AATACCCTATATTACGAAATAGGATAGGGATCTCGAGTATTGAAATACCCAGGGTACCTGATTGAAATTAATAGCGCTCAGCATTTATGAATCACTTGGGCGAATTTAACATCGATGGATAAACAGTAATCCGTGCTTACGTTATATTATATATCGTAAATAGTATTGTATCATCAAAACGTAATGAATAAGCTACTGATCATGGAAATTCACATAGGCTCTGTAGAGTAAAAACACTCCTTGAAGATTAATGTGTATTTTCCTATTTTCCTGTATATCTTGAAAACTATAGTAGGTATATAGAAGAAAATTGTTAGAATGAAAATTTAATGGCTTTTTATACTGTATAAAACTGCCAAATGAAATTGTTAAAAATTCGTTCATTTATTTAGTTCACACTAGAACTACCAAACAAGTCAAAATGACTTGTCAGTACACACTTATAACGACGATTAAAATTTTATAACAATACATTTTCTCAGATCTTGTGCAACTTTTACTACGATATGAAAGAAAAGAAATTAGTGAATTTATAAATTCGTAACTTTTCAAAAATTTGTCATGTTCATCGACCGATCAAAGTAGTTATGCGTTTATCACCCGTAGTTCTAGTGTTAAACAAATTTTTAACACTAGTATAATTTGTAACATTCACTACATTTTTATTGTAAAAATTTCTTATATCTACTATAGTATGCAAGATGTCCTGAAAATAGGAAAACACACATTGACCTTTGGCGGGTGTTTTTACCATGAAGCACCAAGAAGTAGCAAAAAGATCCAAGTTTAAAAAAATTCAGAATTTTCAGGTTACCAAAGTTCCCTTGTCAGTTGCATCTCTTATAAATGTATAAAATCCGCGGTCTAAATGTGCAATAAGCTGTATTTTTTTTGTTCTTCCGCGTTTCGGTTTTCGACGTAATCGATTTTCCGAGGCCGGCAGACGTCAATGGCATACAGCGTGAAAAACGCGTGTGTAGTCGGTTGCATTGAAAAACATTAACCGTTTAGCCACGGCTGGGCTGAACGCAACGCTACACCACTGCACGGATAACTCGTCCGCTTAAAGCACAAAACGACACATACTAGAATCACGATCAGCGTACACTACCTTCCAAAAGTTTGTTAGCATTCGTATTTTTCACTTAAATCAATAAACTTTTTGTTAATATGTTGACTGTAAGTATCTTTTTCCAACTGCATATATTTCTAAGAAATTCTATATTTTGTCGAATTTTGCTTATGCACGTCTTCTGTTATTTATGTGTGTGTGCCACACAATTCTGGGAGTATTCTACAGCAGAATAGTAAGTTTAGATGAGGAATGTTTTAAGAAATTAATAAATAGAAATAGAAATAGAATAGGGCCCTTCAAATAAAGCAGGGCATTTTGATGTAGTAAAAATTTGATAAAGTTAAGTTTTTTTTGTTACTTTTAACACTAGAATACCGGACCCGTCAAAATGACGGATTACAGATTTATTATTTTACCATTACTGAAATTATAATGGTGCTTGTGACGGAATTTATGATAAATTTTAATTTACTACAGATTTTATTTTACAGAATGTTACGCTAGATTCTCGTATATATTCTGTATATTATTGTATTACAAAAGTTAATTTAGTATACATTTAATGCTGGTTGTTATAGTGTTAAGATAGAGTCAGATTCTGTCATTTATAATGTATACATATACATACGCCTTTATAGTATGTAATTCCTTGATAATAATAAAAAAACGTATAACTTACTTTTTAAAATTTTATTTAATTGCTTTCAAAGTTTTGAAGGTAGAATATGTAGCATTACAGACTGTGGATTATGAGCATTTGTATTAGATTGATGCATATATTATAGTTTTTGAACTGCGAAGTTTATACAGTTATAATATGTGTTGAAAAATGGTTTTTAATCGAAATGAGATATATCTGAATTGACACGTATTTGCTAACGAGTAGCAAACTTTTTCATCTTAAGTTTCATGATTTTAAAGTGACTGAAATGAAGCGCGTTGGAAACGATATTTATTGTACAACAACCTAATTGCACACACAATTATATAGAATTTAGTACGCCAAATATATATCATTGCTGTCTTTACTTCATAACACTTTCGGACTTATAATGCTTCACTTGTATTCATGGATTGTTAAACACTTATGGGAAATTCTTCATTATTTCGAATAGCTTAACAAGCTTTTGTAATACTTTCCCCTCGTCTAAACTCTCCACTGACCATAAAAGCTGCCTATGATATCCATAAAAAATGTTACAAATGAATTTTCTTTAACAATAAATTTTGGGACCATGTGAATTGGAAATAAAGCCTCTGTGGACCTATGCTTATAAGATGTTCTTTTATTTATGTTATCATCCATAAAATTTGGCATTTTAGTTCAGGAGCACCCTCTATACACTAGGGTAACTGTCATGTTCAGATAGTAACAATGCCGACCGAGGAGGACATTTTAATTCACGTCGCGCGTGTTGTAATTCATACTTTATTTACGAAAAAGGAATGTGAATGTCGTAGATAGGGGGTTTAAAACTGTTAAATGTTTATATGCAAACAACAAGATGCGTGTATGCCAATTGTTCATACACCATTCCTCTTCGGTAATGTATAAATAGCACTGTTCAACGCGTAAACTACCTCATAACCGTTAATAGGCGCTTCTGATAAATTTTTATAAATTGACTAGGACTCTCCAAACCGTTTTTTCCAAGCACGTCCAGTTTAAACGAAAATCAATTTTTAAAAAATTTGCAAATTTTCAGCTTAGGAGGTGAGTTGTTTTTTATAGTAATAGTTATTCAGTTGTTTTTGACATGAATAATTCTCTTAATTCTCCCGAACAAAATTATGTAAATTGTTGTTATATTATCGAAACCTAAATATGTTACATTGCTACTGCCGCTTGTTTTCATGAACTGTTTAGATTTGCTATTGAAAACAAAATAGATTTTGTAACTTTCCATGGCATTTTTCTTAGCAGAAAGGTTTGTTGTCAAGCATGCTATTGTTACATTTCCTCCTAAAGCCTTAGTTTTTGAAATAAATTGAAGAATATCAGTAAAAATTGGCGCGTTTTCAGTGTCCTTCTTCCTTTGATCATTATTTAAACATATTTAGGCGTATATAATATAATAACAATTTCGATCATTTTGTTCGGGAATGTCTAGAGGATTATTTGGTGTCAAAAGTAATTCAATAACTATTATTATAAAAACACAACACACCTCCAAAATTACACTTCTGCAATTTAAGAAAAAAACTAATTTTTTAAAAACTAGATGCGATAGGAAAAAACGGCTTGCAGATTCGTATCCAGCTCATAAAGATCTACCGAAAACGCTTAGTAGCAGTTATGAAGTAGGAAAAAATGTTTAATTTGTTGAACAGTGTAATCGAAGAGGATGTAATAAATAACAAATTTTTCTCTCTTACCGTATGTTGTACAATTTAGATTCTATTTGTGACCTGCATATGTATGTTTAACGTTGTGGAAATACTGATCCAGTCTTTACTTTTAATATTCTCGTACTTATATCGCCTTGTAAAAGAAAACATTTACGCGAAAATCAACTAACATTAGTTTTACAAATAAGATTCTAAAAATTTATATATTTACGTAGGTTATTACGTTATATGTAATAATGTCACAATTGTGAACACATTTTGTTCAGCATTTCTGAAAAACGCGTATCTTCGTTGTAAATAATCGTTTCGCGGGAAACTGTTACGGTACCGTCTAGTATGCAACGAATTCAGGCGTAATTCCGGATCGTTTTGAAAGATTTATTTTATAGCTACACGGGAGGCCACTATAGTGGATCCTAGTAGTTAATGAGTTAAACACAGCCTACAAAATAATACCGTTTTTCAAGTCTTATCTTGAAATCATACTTACAAAAAAAATCGGGAAACGCTAGTATCCAATGTTGATGAAACTTTGTAGAATTATTATTACAATAATTAGAATTATTTAATGGCCCTAACTAAAAATTTTACCTTGTTTGATTAGCGCCCCATTTAGACCTTAATTGAAAAATCTCCAAAATGAGTCCTAACGGTATTGATTTATAGCCCTAATTGTTATGCGTCCCGGTCTTAGTACATGGACAAGATCGATTGTCGAGCAAATATTGAAAACCTTTGCCTATTGTCTAAAAAGATACCAAGATTATACGAACTGTATCAGAAAGATTAAAAGAACGAACGATGTGAAAGGGAACGGACGTGTAAATTGTCGTATGAAATATTGAATGAAAATTCCGACGATATTTTAAATATACGACAGCTGTTTTTATTTTCACAACGGAGGATTAACCGCTGTAAGAAACAGAATTATATATGGAATATTCCCCCCCCCCCCCCCCTTTTCACCCTCCAAAACGTTGCTTTGAACCGCGATATCCATCTTTCCTTTGTACCCGATTAATTGACCGACTTGTTTTCCAAAAGCTTTCTCGTGAAAATATTCAGTATTACGACTTGATTCATCATTTTATGATTCTGGACGCTGATTATACTGGAAACTCAATTCAAAATTGTTAGAGTGAAAAACCAGTGGTCCATGGAGTACATTGTGGATAGGTGATTTTGAGAAATAAAGAAAAACATAATAGCATTAGAATCCTATAAAAGGAATCAAGAATAAAAACAACACGACTTCTCGTGAATGTTTTCAACATCTGTGATTGATTGGTATCGTTACGGGTTTTGTGAACGAAAATGGTGACTATAGTTATGCGTGTCCATTTCGAACGTGATCGGTAAGGTTTATATAGTTTGTTTAGCTAATAAAGAGATATAAAAGTAGTTTTGATTGGATTGAAAGATCGACCGAACACTTTCCGTTTCAATATATCGAATAAATAGAAAAAAAAAAATCAGGGACATTTCGCGAATGTTCCTTCCTAGATTTATTATTAGCACAGCCTCATTAGGGCTCGCGAGGTGTCTCTTTTTATGGAGCGAATGATATATTACTTGCCTCTTCGGGATGATCGTCGTGGGGCGAAGCGACCCTGAGCAAGGACAGGTCCTCTGGCGTCGAGGAGAATTGGACGGGTGCTCTAACGGTCCTGCCCCAGGGGTCCTGATGATTCCTTCTGCACGTGTGAGGATAACAATGTTCACCGACGTCACCGGCTATCTCGCGCCTCTCGATGCGAATTTCACCGTCGGAGAAGGTCTTCTGCAACGGCAGGAACCTCCTAGTCGACTGAGACATTCGATTCAGCAGGGCTCGGGCGTCCGGCGACACGGGCGCTGGCTTAAAGTCTATGAGGATCTCCTTGTCGTCTAAGTCGACAGACCTTCGTTGATCCTCAGGCTGTACACAAAAATGGACAAATACATACTATTGAAATATGATTCTAACGAGCGAAGTAGTGTCAATTAGGGCTGGGTTGTTTGTACGACCCACTATAATTAGCTGAAGTGAAAAGAATTAAATGAAAGCTAGAGTAAATTAATAAGTTTTAAATTAATAAATTCAGATTTTTAAGCTTGTGGTTGCAACAGCCCGTTCCGATTATTTGGTTTTCAATTTTTATCTCCTGAAAACGTGATGCACATGACTGCATTACTATATTACAGAATATTGTAATAACTGTTTCAGAAATAGCTTCTGTGGTGTACTTATAATACAGTCAAAGTAATTATGTTTGACGTCCAATTTAATTAAAATCATTCATAGTATGCAATTACTAAACGTAATTGAAACATAACGAACTGTATGAATTAATTCTGTCCATAAATAAATCATGTAGATTGTCGTCTATGAATAAGACGTTAATATCCGCAACAACATGTGTCCTTTAATCATAATACCCTAATAAGATTTTGCTTTCTACTACCTCTATTTTGTTACCAGAGAGTAATGTGATCATGCTACCATTACAATCTCCTATAAACGGCTTCGAAATTTGATTCCTGTCCGACCTTCCTGTTAATAGACTGAAATGAGTTGTCTATAGATAATTGCGTTATTGATTCATGTAGAACATGCCTGAAAATAAATTAATCAATTCTGTATAAGTTGTCGAATTATCGACTGCAACACTAAGAATTGATTTGACGTGATTGTAGATGATTGTATCAAACATTGATCTGCAAATAAAGTTCCGCAAATCGAAGCTAAATTTTTTCAGCAGAAAATGTACAACTGTAAATATTTACAACACAAAAACTGTCAGCGTTGAACTGTACATTAAACTAAATTGTTCATTATAAACAATTTAGAGCAATGTAGTGTACTATAAAGTGTGTAATAAATTAAAAGTTAACTATAGTTTCGACAAAAGTACCTTTATGTTTATAATAATTGTAAAGTATAAAGTTTAAAATTCGAGGTTTTGACGAGTTTGGTAAATCTGGTGTTGAAAAACATGGTTCCATTGAAAAATGAAACCTCGATACAAGGTGTTTCCGAAATGTTGGTACAACCTGGAAGGATCTGCTTCTACACATATGCAAAAATAAGTTCAAAATGTAGAATAACATTTTTTTTGTACGGGGTGTGGTTTCCAAGGTAATCAATTTTTAAAACTTATGTAACGCGTGCGTACTCATAGTGACAATAAGTAGAAACAGAATGAAATGAACAACCGCGTTAACCAAGTCCTATTTAATTACACGCATATACAGCAGGTTTTGAAATACAATTTTCTCGAAAGCGAAGCGTCATACGAAACAATATTATTCTACATTTTCGAATTATGTTTGCATGTAGGATCACATTCTTTCAGGTTGCACCACCATTTCGGAAACATCTTGCAGAGCCTAGATAGTCTTCATAAAAAAAATAATACATCATTAACAGATACATTACTTTCTGTCAAGTAACCTTCAATTTAATATGAAATAACTGAAACTATTGTGCGTCAATTAGTTTTGAATGTACCTATTAGTTGGCAATACATTGCGTTTCGGGCTTTATATTCCATTTCCAATAATTATTCATCAGTTATTAAAATGTATAATTTTCTAAAAATCATGATTTCAAGTAATATAACCCAGTCAGACCAGTTATTAGTGCAAAGAGAACATTATAAATAAAAGAAAAAGAAATTATATATGAACTGAATTTTAACTTCAACCTATCGTGTATGTAATATCTCGTCAAACAATACTTTTATAATACACGTATCTATAAAATAAATCAATTCTTTGCAAGATATTATCTGATATTTCATATTGTAAAATATAGAACTCAAGTAAAAGGGTTCAGTGGGAAATTTTGAATAATTTATACACGTAATTATCGGGTCAAGTTGCCACTTTCCAGTTTCTTGTTTCTTAACTCAAAAAACGTAGACTATTCATTCAAAATTAACTTTTCATGCAGACTTCGTTCCATAACTTTGAAGCACATAAAGAACAGAATTAAAATTAAAAAACTGCTTTAAATCCAAGAATAGTACTCCCTCAAATGTTTTAATATGTTTGAAATTATATTAATACTGTATTAAGTGTCACTTCGAGATTCAATAAATACGAAATATAATATTTTCAATTGCAATAAACATGATTTAAAATGCAACGAATGTAGTTCCGATTTTTTATTGCGAAGTATTTTTAGGGTACACTACTATCGACTACACTGACACGAACAAACAATTTCGGTGAAAATTTCTGTCACTGCAAATAGAAGTCGTTAATCGCTATATCTGACGAACGCCAGTTGCGTGGGAGTCCAACCGAAAAGCGTAATCCTTGAACACCTAATCGATATACATATAGTAGGTACACCCATTATGACACAAACGCCGAGATTTCAGACGTAAAATTGGACTGAATGGAGACTGTGCGAACTATGCAACGTATAATGCAAAATGTGCAATGTAATAAGTCCAGAGATTTTCGACTGGTCTTTAACCACCACGGAATTGAAATCCGCGATATCCTCCTCTCGATCAGAAGCGATATCAAGTACATATACCGATTCCAGTGTAGCGGGCCACTGTTTCGAGCGATTCGCCACTCGAAAGGAATAGAATCAATGTGATCCGCCTCAAATAACCCGGATACGGGAATAGCCTATGCGAATTTGATCAGTGGTTTCTATGGTAGGCCGTTATGTACAGTCAGACAAAAAGATATCACGGTTTAAGAATAACTTAATTTCTATTTATTAAACGATACCAATTGGAATCTTTGTGTACAGTGTGTCCCATCTAAGACTGAACACCGAAATGTTTTCTTTATTTTTAATAATACGAGAAATGTTTTGAATACAGTTTGAATTGTTTGAAAAGTGGAGTATCGTATACAAAACGTTTTTGTACGAGTATTTTTGCAGAATTTTTTTAATGTATTTTCTCATGTATTTTTTTTATTGCATCGTGTAGCTCGTGTTAAGATGCATTCGAATATATCTAATTTATCACCTTGAAGTGAACTTGAACATTCAAGAAATAATAACAGATAATCAATATATTGACGTTTTTGCTATATCTATGCTTGTTATAAATATTGAGTATAAAAATTGTTTTCTACACACTTGGGTTACCCATACAGAAATTACTACATTCTGAATATTCGTTTTATAGTGTATACAAATGTTAAAATTGAACATTTTATGTGTTGTTCTTAAATACATTGTAAGCAAATATGTTAAATTTATGTTTCGAAAGTATTGTATTCTTTTTAATGAAATCATAAAGATGGATTTTTTGCTGTTTATACATTGGATGATTAGTTACCATACAGTTTCTTATCACTAGAACTACCGACGAGAAACGTATATCTATTTCTATCGGATCGACAAACGTGATAAACTTTTAAAAACATACAAATTTATAAATTAACCAATTTCTTCATCTTTCTATAGCAATCAAGGTTGTATAAGATCTGAGAGAATGGATTCTTATAACATTTTAATCATCGTTATAAGAATATGCTAACCAGTCATTTTGACTAGTGTTAACACTAGAACTACTGACGAGTAACGTATACCTGCTTCTATCAGATGGGTAAAGGTTATAGCTTTCTCAAGATACACAAATTTATAAAAAAATTACTTTCTATATCCGTACATTGTAATAAAAGTTACGAGAAACCTTAGAAAATGCACTTTTATAACATTAAATAATTTCCATAAGACTTTACGAATTTGACTCATTTGACGTCATTTTGACTCCTTTAATAATTCTAGTGTTAAAATCTTAAAACTTAAATTTAAAGAAGATTGAAAATTTGAATTTTTTAAATTCAGTGCAATAACACGATTTATGTATATCGATTTAATGGCAAAGCAAACACTTCAGTAAGGTTTATGCTTCGCTTCGTCGAAATGTAAGAATATATAAGTTCAGTAATTTATTTTGCAATTAAAGATAAATTGAAACATGTAGGGTGGAGATGTTTAGGAAAGCATATTCTATAATGTTGGTAAATTTGTTTGAACCAAATTAGTTTAGATAGTCGAATAGACGACATGAAAGGTAATGTGTTCAATTTCGAACATTTTATTCAAAATATATCCTCGAATGAAAGAGCTTTAGATTAATTTATGAGGAACGGAGGTAATTAAGGTGATTAAGTTAAAGAGTTCATCCTGTAGACTGTAGAGCATTCACGCGGCACACTTGTTTCACTGAAGCTAGGATGTTGCGCTGACGGCTTCTGAACGTTTAATCTGTTAACTGAATCGCGGTCGCTGATGAAAGCAATACAAGTTACAGTTGAATTATCTCAAGAAGTAACTGATAAATCAATAAAGTTTTCGACGAACATATTCTCTTGGGTCTAATTGATTTATTATGAAATTAATTCAAGGTTGATGAATCTCGTAGAAGCAAATTAATGAAGAATGTTACTTAGAACGAATTTTAAGCTCCAATAAAATAATTCACTGATTATACAATGTAATGTACTTTACACGATGTTTGTCGAATTTCCAAGTGTTTCATAGTTATTTATATTCCTTTCCTTATATTACTGTAATTCATTCATAACAGTAATATAGTATAACGTAAACGTCACATAAGTACGTAACATAAAGTATAACGTCAATCAAAATATTTTATTACTTTGAAAAATCGCGACTATAATGTTTTAAGAAATATTATGCTTTCCGAGTAAACATTTCGATTTTCAAACATGTCACTGTATTATGGAAAATAAAGAAAAATTATTCATCATGAATGCAACGAAGAAGATACATATAAAAATGTATAAAAGCAACAAAAGAATACAAATTTGTGTATGTTCATTATATGTAAACTTAAAATTTGATCAAGTATTTTCATTGCAAAGCTGTAATTATAAAATATAACAAGTATATACATATCTACACACAAAAATTTAAAAAAATGCACGTCCAATTTGAAATCAATTTTTTATAATGAAATTTAGAAATGGTTTCTAAACAATTTACAAAAACATACAAAATGTCTGCTACAATCTGTTTCGTCAGTTCCTCTAAATCAAATTATCAGAAAAAAATCATGCAAATTCATCCAATCCAATTCTACAGGACACAGTTAATGTGATTAAGTTTCGTTCTTCACAGAATATCTGGAAGCTAATAAACAACCAAACAGGAATTGAATTTCCAGGGAATTCAAGCGCTTAATTAATATTGACGTTTCTACGAAGCGGTGCATTATCACAAAGCATAACTGGAACACCTTTTGAATATTGAATTTCGCGAGTATCTAGTACACACATTAGAACTTTCCTTGGCTGAATTCCCATTAGTTGAATACTTTGCTATCTAGATACTCCCCGTTTGATCATTCTATTATCCATATGTAATATGTTTGTATACAACATAGTAAACATTTATTGCTATAGTTGCTTAGATATACGTGTACGTTCGTATTGATATTCATATTCTGTCAAATTCGTATTTGATAAATAAAAATGTTATAAGACATATATTCATCTTTCGTACGTGAATTTACACTGTTGTCCAACTGCAAAACAGCGTTTCTTTATTAACATGTTGACTGTCATGGTGGTCCCTGGTGACCAAAGCCATTAAATTATATGAAAATAGGATCACTTTGTAAACAGTAGTCTTTAAGATTCTGTAAATCTCATTGACATTAAAATAATTATCGTTATATAGAATAAACTCAGAGACATTAGCTTCATATATGAGGTAATGTTTTACATAGGTGTTCTAGGCAACGAAGAAGTATACTCTTTCGCTAAAAAAGCGACATTACTAGAACTAAACAACAATATACACTTATCTAGTACAGACTTTCGTGAACAATATAAACTTAATGCTAATTCTAACACCAAAAGGTGGAATGCAGAACAAGGCCTACAGAAAGGACGAAAATATTTTCAATTCTACAATACTAACACAAGAAAACTTTGGTATTACAGTCAGAACCGATCAAGTAGAGTAATTACTCCCATTAATCGATGCGGAGCTAATCATTATAACCACACAGCCTACCTAGGGTATATAGGTATCACGATTTGAACAAAATACGACTGTGAATATGATATACAACATTTCAATCACGTTATCTGGCCATGTTTAACGTACAATTCTGAAAATGTAAACACTATCTACCTCTTAATATCAAAAAGCTTTCTTATTACTCTCGATATTCAGGCTCTACAATTAATATGTGACTTCTTCAAAAAATGCGAGCTTAAAATTTAACTAACTGCTGTATTTGTAAAATAAATGTACCACTTATATAATTTAAACACAAATGTAACCAAAACAATGTATTTAGTAAAATCAGCAAACTTATGTTCCATCTCTTTGACAGTTTTCATCGGTTCACAAATCTAACAGATATTTTGATGTTTTGTTTATAGTAACCCTGTATATTGAAATCCTTAAGTATGTAAACAAATCGAGTTCGTAAATAGAAAATGGATTGTGTTCCTTAAGTGGTTTTATGAAATGACAGGGTTTATGTTACGTCTTCACCTTTGAGATTCGAATCTTCTACACACAATCAGAAGATGTTTATTTAATACACAGAGCGTTAATTTAAAATCGGGCGTCTAAATTATTTACGCCACTATTGAAGGTAAGAGAAATGACTAACAATAAGCAGAATCCATATCGTTTCTAGACATGCAGCTGGTGATGATGAAAGAAAATCCTGTGAAGGTCATTCTGACGGTTTTTTCATGGTCATCGTGTTTTTTTATATGAATATTAACATCTATTCTTTATAACGCAATGTTGTAGTCGACGTCAAAACGAGTTTAGCGACCTAATATCATGACCTTCAAGTGACCTTGCAGACGAAAAACTTAATTTCATTTCGCAGAAGTTAAGAGTAATAGAACAAGAAGAGTAATATCACCTTATTTTATTATATGTTTAACATACTTAAAATGCTTTGTTCAGAGGTCATGAAGGTCTTGGTATCTAGATTGTTAAACCAATCTTTACGCCGACATAACATCCCGGTTGTACAGAATGGATATTAATATGCAAAAAAAAATACGGTGACCGTGAAAAAACTGTTAAAAAATGACATCAGGCAGAATTGTTCTTCACCACCACCAGATGCAAGTCGTAAAACCATTTACATAAATCCAATTTAGTCATTTTTTTTTTCCTGTAATAGTAGCGGATATAATTTAGATGCTTGATTTAAAATTAACACCCTGTGTGTTTGTAAAAGTAGTTATAGTAAGGTGGCCTTCGCAGTAAGGTGGTTTTGTTTCTTCTTTTCTACTCATACTGGTGTGTTTTTTGTTGATTGCAATGTACACTGTTCAATTCTTCCGTGAATATTATTGAGTTTAGCACGGGATCTATGGTATTTTCATGCGGATTTAGCATATATTTTGTACTTGATATTCAGCTTTATATAGATTATCACAGTTTGTATTTATTCGTCTAAAATGTTCGAAGATCAATAAACTGCGGATGTTTGTGCAAATATAGATTTTTCAGAGTTAATTTACAGAAACTGGAGTCAAACCAATATCTGTTTACTTTGCTTACTACTCTACCAGGCCCCAGAGAACATAAAAACCTCCTCAGAATTAATCAAACTCGTAACGCTTAGTGAATTCTAGAAAATTATGTGGGCTATAAACGCATAAAATCTGCAGTCTAAAGATCAATATTGGACAAGTAAGTACTCTATTATTTGAAAAATCGCCTATCCTCACGTTCAGGTCTTCTTATTAATTCGGATGAGGATGGCGTTGCGTTTGAGTTCTTTAAGTATTCCCCACATTCAGAGATCCTCTAAATCCGCTCTCCCTCTGTAGCCTTGAGATTTGTCGCAAATTCACGTATGACGAAATCCCATTTGAAACCCAGCAATTTAACAGATTACTTAAACTACGAAGTAGCTGCCTGCTACCTGCATAAACCGTCACACCAACAATAATACGTCCCCTGTTCCTCTTTCGCTAAAAAAGGTACCGCTGGTAGGGGCGTAGATTACAATTAGCGCGCGGAGAATTTTCATTTAGAATATTCGCGAACATGAAAAACACAGTAAAACAAGTACCTACTGTAATAACAGCTCATAAAATATTCAGATTCTGCTACATTTATTAAGATCGTTTGCAAATTAGAAAGAAATCTAATTATATGAATTTTATAGAAATCTTCTGTCATGGATAATATTGTAGGTACATCGGTGATGCCTACGTAAATAATTATTTTTATGGGCTAGTTTATGAATACTAGAAGCAAATAAAAATGCATTTATATTATTAAGAGGTTTAACCAGGTTCCAAGTAAATTAAAATTTTATTCATTTTTATTAAAGAACAAAATATTGACTACAACTAAAAGAATCAGAGGTTATAGCATAGTAAAGGATTTTACCAACCAATACCATATACCAATATGAATAGTAAAGAAAATACAGTTATAACTTGACTTATTGTCAGAACTGGTCACTTAAAGAACAAAATAGAACCACCTTACTGTAACTACTACCACAAACTTGTATCAACTAACATTTTCACTTAGGGAATACAATCAATTTTCTATACAACACACACATTTACTTAAACCTACTCATCTTAAAACAATGTAATGCAAATTGAACTTCGTTGCTAATGAACCATAAAAGATATTAGTAAAAATGTGACACACTTTCACAGGGTGGTTTCTACAGGCCAAACTAATTGTGAGACGAAAATTAAGAATGACGAAATTGCGTTCGAGGCTTCATTTCCAAGTTATTAATTATTGAAAATACATTTTGGACACCCTGTATACACAGTGAAACTTTCAGTGACCGCGGTTGATACAGAAACAAGCAACAGACATAAAAAATGTAAGAATCATTACATTTACTACAGTTGTAGGTCGAAATTAATTGTTAATCGTTTGTATCTTACAGGAACGTTAACCGATTTCGATTAAATTCTCGGCATGTATATAACTAACATAAATCTTCCAAGTGTATTTTTTAAATTTTCTTTTAAAAATGATCTTTACTATTTTCTTCACAATTACGACCAATTGCAACATTTTCAAAAATTTGTTTACACATCATTCAGTAAATTAACCTTCCTAACTTCACAAAAGAATTCAAGTCACATAGACTAACTTTAAAAAAGTTGTTCTGTTTTAAAGGGTGTCCAAATATTTTTTTTACCCACTGTGAGTATAAGAACTCCATTAAAATTCAAAAATTCAAAATTCAACGTAAAAGAAAATTTGTGACTTACTATGTTTTTTATATGTTCCGGGACATCCCCATTAGTCAGAATCTCCTCTGGTCCATCGATGGTACTGGTGGTCTGAAGAGGCGGTGTATCAACAAGAAATGGGGACCTAGGCGGTTCTTCGCTTTGCGTTCTGTGAAGAGGCTCGTGCTCGGTTTCTTCTTTTCCCTGTGTTCCGGTTTGACCGCCGCCCAGCGGGGTGCCCAATTGGCCGGCCTCCGAGTAACTCTTCGTCAATTTTCGTCCGTTGAAGAAACCGTTCGTTTGGGCGCCCTGCGAGACCATTTTCACGCGATGTATCGTCCTTGGACTGAGCCTGACTGGGACTCGACCCCGGAACACGGCTGGAATCTCCGTCTGGGTCGCCTGAGTCTTCATTGCACCGCGTTTCGGTGGCTTCTCTGAAACGAAATAAACGATAACTCGGCTGTGACCGAATGTTAATTGCATGTTGTTACGTCGCAAAGTCCTTGACGAGATTGCCTTACAAGAAGAGTGCAAGACCTTTGGGTCACCGATTTAGTTGAGACTTTGGGTTCATTCCACGCGAAGTCTGACACGTTTTGGTGTAATATTTTGGATTTTGTTGAAACTTGGATATGTTGTGGTTTTTAGTGATAAATAGACTGCGGATTTTATGCGTTTATAGTTTAAAGGGCTCTGTGAAATACACTGAAAAACAAAACTTTCATCGGATCCAACGAGTTTTCTATTGTATTCTGAATCCAATAAGATATTTAAAAGGGAAAATAAATTTCTACGATTGCTTCTGTCTTTATAAAATACTTTAGAAACTTTTATTTTACATCAAAAACTACAGTCTAGTAATAAATAAACGTATTCTAAAGGATTTTTGCAAACTTTTAGAATTGTTAATTTTACAACTGTTTGAAATGTGTTAATCTTTCTTCAATAAATTATATGTGTTGAACTAACAAGCTTATCAAAATGAGCTTTGTGGATGCTTACAGTGGAGACGTAAGAATACCTAATAAAAAGTACTTCAGTTAAAAACAAATACATTTTAACCATTTATTTTGAAATTGTTTCAAAGAAATGCAATTTTATAGTAACGGGGCACTCTAGAAAAGTTTGAAAAAAAAATGAGGATATACAGAGAATCGTCGTCGAGTGTTCGGGTCTTATTAAGCGGAAAATCTTCTAACCTCTTAAATTTGTCTTTTGCCCGAAGCGCGAGTCTAGCAAACAAAACCTAGGGGGGGGGTGTAAAGTATGTGTATGACACCCAAATCCTGTATCAACATTCTCAGAACGTTCCCAGAATGTGTAAAAGTAACATTCCCTGTACGTTTTGGGAACGTTTAAAGAGATTGTAATAACGCAATTGTAATGTTTTGTAAAGTAACATTCCCTGTACGTTTTGGGAACGTTTAAAGAGATTGTAATAACGCAATTGTAATGTCTTGAAAGACGTATAAGAAATGTTTCCCAAATGTTTAAAATTCCGGTTAGGTTTCATTCTGTGGAAGGTGACATGAATTAGGTTAGGTTAGTTTGTGTTTAACAAATAAAAGATTAACTTTCCGGCGGTTTCCGCACTTAGTAGAAATTAGATCTAGTTAGTTCCTGTTAATAAATAAAAGGTTAAATTTCCTATAAGGAATTATAATGAAAATATAGGTCTGGACGACCACTAATCTTCATCTCGATTATAGCATCCATTAAAAAATATCTTGTATATTTTCCGTGATTAATAACAATGTAATTGGATAGTTGGATAGTCGCGCTACACTTTGTGGTAAATAGTAGGGAGAACGGTAAAGGGGATATTAGGATAATGGCGGGAGAGCCCTTGTAGATGCCTATTGAGTTGCTCCCTACATTAGCACTGCATGGTATGTCACAAATCTAGGACGGCGAAGAGGCTACGTCCGACAGGAAATTGACCGGCAGGTACTATTGTATTACGATGAGCACTTGCACGGGTTGCAAAGATTATATGTATAGACAACGTGCTTGTAGTCAAATCAAATTCAATTGACTGCTCACTTTAGTATCACTTCCCACATCACGAAATACTCCAATAGCGTATACAGGACTGTTAATTGGTTCCAAGAAAGCCGTGTATTATACAGGACGCGGCAATGGAATACGACGGTTTTCACAACGCTATTCTGGGGCAATACAGTGGGCGATCAAAGTGTTACAACCACCTGAAGAAATTGACGATTTCAAGATTATAACTGTATTTTTTGTAATTAGACAAGCTATGTTCATTGCTTCTGTATACTTTTAACGAACAATTGTTAATTAAAAATTATTCACTGCAAATACCTTGACATTGTTATTTTATTTCTACACAAAGACGAAAAAACATAATTTTTTGTACTGTGTGAAACAAAATGTACCTAACGTTAGTTTAACAGTTTTAACATTGTGAAAATTTGGTTAATGCAAGCTTATAGCGCTGACTATACTACTAAGTTTTTATTAGAAACATTTAACAAAATTTTAAATAATTATAAAAAATTGAAGGTGACCTTGAAAACTTCGAAGACAATAGACTGATAAAAAATGTACTATAAACACCTTCAAGGCCGCTTTGAACCATATGCGACACAAAAAAGATTTCATAACCTGACATAGAATAAATGTCGTTTTCGAACAATCACACATAGACATTAATTTATGCATTTATAACATATTGTACCCTGCGAAATACAATAAAAAATTTGCGAATTACAATTAAAAATATAAAATTTCAACCAGATGTGATAGACTTTTTAATATTATCGTTAGTCTGATGAAAAATCTAAGAGAACAATGATTTTTCTATTTTTACGCCGGATTTTATAAATTACTTTGAAAAGTAGAATATGTTATGAATGTTATTACTGCACATTGTTTGCCTCAGTTTGGAAGACGAAGAAAGTATACATATATTCCCAAGTTTTCAACGAGGGGGCAGAAGATTGAGTAGTCTCATATAAACTTCAAAACTTTAGAAACTTCCGCCATTTATTTCATCTTCCTTAATTCCTTTGTTCCTGTCAAATGGCGTGATAAGAGGGACGTTTAATAATAATAAGCCTAGATATCACTGAGTAAACAGTCTTCCATCAATATGAAAAAAGGATCACTGTTACATGACGAAAAGCATTATTAAGAAAAAAGCTAGGACGCTAGTATTCAAAAAGTAAAGTTTTAAAAAATTGTAACTCAAATATGAAATAAAGCATTGCTAAATATTATTTGTAATTAAGATCTAGCTTTCTAAATGATTACTTACAATAAATGTACCTTTATATTATTATTACTATTAATATTATTGAGCGTTTTTTAAACACTTTTAATAAATAGAATAGTGCATAACATGTATTTCTCTATCTTTCACTTACAAATTGATACAATTTGGTATGGTTTCGGGGAAATTTTTAAATATGTTGTTACATGGAGATTAGTGTACAATTTTTATGAAAAAGGAACGGGAAATAAAATGGTTTTGACATATTTTCTTCCAACCATGTATAAATATTCACCATTTTTACTGTAAGTTCATGATATTTTTGTAAAAGCAGACCAGGTGTGAAAAAGTATACTGAGCTTAATAATTTTTATTTATTTTTATTAATAGAGAGCACTAATATATTATATCTTTATAATAAACGTGTTCAACAAAAGTAGAAAGAGGGAGTAATAGTTTGAGGAACTAGTCAACTATATGGGGTGCCTCAGGTCCGATAGTACAGCCAGATAGGAGGTGATTCTACAAGAAAAAATAAGTCGAAAAAAAACAATTCAATTTTTTTGGGTGATGCTTCATTTTCGAGATAATCGAACTTGAATATTTCTTGAATACACGGGCAATAGAATAGGACTTGGCTAACGCGTCTGTGCATTGCAGGCCGTTTCTACTTACTGTCAGTACGAATATACGTGATTTTGTTAAATCATCAAACCCAATTTTCTCAAAAACGAAACTTCAAACGAAAAAAACTTATTCTATCTTTTCGACGTATTTTTTCTTGTAAAATCACCTCATATCCGGTTGTACTACCCGTTCTATGACACCTTGCATTCTAATATAAGCATCTATTATACATATTTATGTCCAAAAGTAAAAATAAACAGTGAAAAATTAAGTGTATTAATGAGCAAAAACTCCCCTTTTTTTGATAAAAAAAGTAATACATATGTGATGTTTCTTTAATCTTCTCGCCTTTGTACTTCATAAAAATAATAATAACGTTTTTAGTATATCATAGAGACAATACCTAAATATATAACAGAGAAAGCAAAAATAAAAAGAATATAGCTCTAAGAAATGATAAATAGTGTAAAGGCGAGGTTCATCTGTGCTTTATTTAAGCTTACAATTAATTATTCCTATGTTAAAGATTCCTATGTTTTTGATTGTCCTAGAAACAAATATTAAATTTGAGATAAACTAGTAAACTTTACATTGATATCTCTAATATTCTTATTCTTTCTGCAGAATCAAATATAATTCTGTTTTTAATAATAGCAATACCAAACTTGTCGATGCAATACATTTCAGATTTCTTATTTTACGATTGCTCGAATCACAAAGGCTTCTTAGTTGGAATTTATGCTGACTGAATTTAATATATTGGACATTTAATATTACGCTATATTGTTCTAAATTGTATTATGTATTACATACATTGCTACATTATTCTACTGTATTATACGCATTAATATTATGTCGTTGCGCATGAAATGGACGATCCTAGTGATAGGTATATTTGACGACACTTTTATGAATGAAAATTATTAACACACCTTCGTCTTTTATTGTAAAATTACTCAGTGTACTCTACTCGTTTCGAGATGTTATCTAATATAACAATAGCATCAGTTATGTTAAATATTAAAACTATTTAATGTGGAGAATACAGTAAATTCGGCCATTTTCTCCGTATGTACTAAAAGATGGACATTTAAATCGAATTCAGACATAAATTTTATAGAAATGCATATAGGTTTCTGCTAAAGAATCCTGTTCAGCGATGGCAACAATCACCAAAAAGATGAAAAAGATGACAGCTGAAAGTGTCTTCGTAGTGTTATATTCAAATTCAGCATAATAATCATGTAATATAATACATATAATTCTTGTATTTCAACGAAAAACGTGTGCAGAGACTATTGAACCTTACTTTGTCTAATGAAATTCGTATAACCTTCAATATAATATCAAGTGGGTGGTAATAGAACGAGCATTTCATGCGCAACATGCTAATTATATTGTTCTACCGTTAAACATTACACGTTTCTGAAAGCAAACGTGAGACCTACGTATGTATGTACATAAAATTAGGAACGGATTCTCTTTCGACGGAGAAATTACTCCACTAATGCAATTCATCCTAGCATCGTAATTCACCGTTCCTTGGAAATGAATTTAGGAAGCAAAACTTACGTGTTTACGGGCTCAGGCTCGTATCACTTGATGAGTCATGTCTGCTATCAAAGCTGCGAAACTACTCGCAGTCGTTGTCATTTCCTATACGAATTCAATATCTAGTCTCGCCGGGCCAGAGTATTGGCAATTTGGTAGCTAATATCGAGCTAACAGCCGGTCCCGGGGCAAGAAGTCAATGTTTCAGGGGAGCTGATAATCCACGGACTGTGTACAGTGCAATCGAAAACGAGGGAGCAGTAGTTTCTTTTAACGTGATGCAGCGGAACCTCGATTACTCGAACTAATTGGGGGCATCGTGTTCGAATAATCGATTCTATCGCGTGACCGAAAAATTTCACTTTCACGGTAAAGTAAAGTCATTGATTATTAACACTAAACTACCAAACAAGTCGAAATGTCAGTACACTCTTATAAGGATTATTAAAATGTTATAGCAATACATTTTCTCAGATTTTTTGCAACTTTTATTACGGTATGAAAGTGAAAACATTAGTTAATTTATAAATTTGGAAATTTTCAAAAGTTTCTCATGTTTATCAACCGATCGAAATAGATATGCGTTTATTGTCGGTAGTTCTAGTGTTAAAAAGACTACAAACTTGGTTTTCTAGTATATGTTTGCGGATTGTAAACGTATTTGTGTGCACCCAGTTTGTAAAAATAATTAACAAATTGAAGAGTTTTTGTAGAAAACACTGGAAGTGCTGAAATGATAAAATTTTGCGTATTTATGGAAAAATATTCTGTATGCTAATAGGAATACTGTAGTATACAATGTAAGTGCAATTTCCCTTTGTAGATAGTTACCAATAGTGCTAAAAAGTGACATTACTAATACGTTAAATGTCGGCTCTGTAGAGAACTCTGTAAGTGCCAATGCAAGCATTATATTTTTGGTTTTTTGTACAAGTAATCTGGGAACAAACAAGATTAGCATTTACAGTATTTGCAAATTTCAATGAATGGCACATTGAATTTTCTCTAAAACTAACAGTAAAAGGTGCACGTACAGGATTTTCTACAAATATAATTTTCCTTTTCATGTTTTTTGACCACATTAATGCAAAGAATAGAAAATTTTGTTATGCATTTGAGTTTTTGTATTCTCAATCACATTTAGCAATAAAAACAAATTAAATTTTGTAAACAATTTAAAGTCAGTAAACTTTGTTTTTCTTCAAAAAAATTTTACTTTTAACACTTACAGTGTTTTTTACAAGTACTCTTTCATTGTTTGGTTAGTTTATTTTAGCAGTAATCGTTACTTTTAAGTCAGCGTTCAAAAAATGTATTCTTTATTGTTGTATATTTATTGTGAACGACCCGAGTGTACATTTATTCGAAGTAAATGTGATTACACTGCATTCTGGAAATAATCGCAAGAAATAATATATGACAAGATCCTTGTAAAAACAGTTTTTCGAACTACTTTTTACATCTTTCGAAGGTTATTAAAACAGATGTTGCTCCAAACACCAATTTCATTCTAGCAAAAAAGTTGCCGATTTTATAATATATTATATAGATGCATCAATATGTAGTCCACTATTTTGTTTCACTAAATTAATGATAGTTTAAATTCAAAACGTCTTTCTGCCGTCTTCATCTTTACGAATGGTGACGAGCTCCGAAGAACGAAAACAAATTTTACTGAAGTAGCAATACGATTTTGATATCCGTTAATAAAAATAGAAGTAGATATCGAATTTAACTAAGTAGATATAATGGGTTATTTATTGTTACACTTAGTATCATGCGTTTCTCGTAATTTTAATCATTTGGAGTGCCTCTAAGGTAACTTTTAAGAAAAATGAAGTGTTTACGAAATTCTAATTTAACTGAAACCGAAGCTATTTAAAATATATGTATATCGGAAACGTTTGAATTTCTGCAGATTATTTCAAAGTTAATGATGAGATAACAGTACTGTTTTCTTTTATATATTTGTCATATTCATCACACATTATTTTTTGGTAGTAGCTGTTATTTAAACGTTGAATGTACGAGGCCGAAAAGTTCCAAGGCGTGAATGTAGCCAATTCTTTTGCTTCATAATGTAACGCGTAATTTTGAGCGAGAAGTCTTCTGCCTAACTCTCTGTAGCAACACTTTTTTAAAGAGCATTCTTAGCTCTGTGAGGATCTATTTAGTTAGAGAGGAAAGTGCACGAGCTTTTGAAGAACGTCCGAGGATTCGCGACGCGTTGAAAAGTCAGCCCAGAATCAGGGTTGAAAGAGTGCGAATACGTAAAAATTGACCCGTGAATTACGACCGTGAGACCGGTAGAATCAAAGAAAATTCCTTACGTTTATTGTCTAAAGTTTTGTTGAAATAGTTCTCAAAATTCTTGGAATTTTATTGATAATATTTATAAAACTAAAATATGCATTCCGAAATGAAAACTACAAAAAGAAATTATTGATTGCACAAAAAATTAATAAAAATACCAAGATTTCTTCGGAAATGAAAATTTCACTTCCGATACAAAATTTCAATTTCAGTAAAACCATAATTAATATAAATTATTTCTCATTTTTCCCTTAATCCTTTCGTGAACAGATTAGTTTTTTTTTAAAGAACTGATTGTTTATGGTCTGTAATGGATACTGAATTGAGATAAATTTTTGTTTTCTCCAAAGCTTTCGTATATTTTTTTTAAATTTTACGTCTGACGTATTTGTCCCACTGAATACTGAGTGTAATGAATTGAGAAACGGGTTTTGGAAAAAACAAATTTTTACAATGGGCAGTTCGTTTTTAAAGTAATTTACTCTCATAAATTATTCTTTACGAATATTAAATATTACTTTCTATGAAATCCTCCGAAGCTACGGTGGGACCCGAAACAAAACTTCAATCGAAACGGTTTTTAGTAGTAGAAACACAGAAAAACACAAACATGGCATCTAGCAAGATTATATTATTACTTTAGATAAGAAAAAATTTGCACTTGCAGCCTCTTACCTGCACTATTTTGCATAAGAACAGAAATAAACGTAAAAACACATAGTAACAGCAAGGCAAAAACACGCACCCAAACAAAGGACTGCATTACTACTATTTTATGCAGGAAACTGCTATCTGATATGCCTCACACAATTCGAGTGGTCACAAGTAGGACATATGCGTCCTACTAGTCACGAAAGGGTTAACCAACTTTTCGTCTGGATAGGTGTTTCTATATGATATAGAAAAAACGTAACTTTCCCTTCAAAAAATTAAATTTTACACCTTCGGCATACGAAGAATAATATTGCCAACTTGCGTATATTTAGCGTTTACGAGAAGTACGCTGCATAACAATAACATATACCTACATACTGTATATTGTAATCGTTAATGCTGACTTTGACATTAATTAAATATTAGGTGTACCAGTAAATAATCCACTATATTTTGCCGAATTTGAACTTCATTTTTCAGAAAATCGAAAAACTGTCTATTTCCAGTGACAAGTATCTTCATTCTCAATCATTTTTCTCCATTTTTTATGAAACGAAAAGGCTAGAATGTGCTCTGAATACAAGTTGTATTGCAATTTTATTTAAACAAAATAGTGGATTATTTCAGTAGTACATCTAACATAAAATACGTCATACGTATGAAGCGGACAGATACATACTCCTGTGGTACGTGTAGAATGATTTAAGGTAGCTTCCGTGTTTGGTGTCGTATCAAGCTGGGGCTCCATATGGCGTTTCATATTTTTCATCAATTTTACCAATTTAATTTGAACGATTAGTATTTTAAACTACTTTAAAATACTTAAATGGAAAAAATTACAAATATGTGGAAAGAACAAAAATTTTCATTATTGTACAATAATTTAATTTTTTTCTAATTTTTAAGAAAAAATTGGATAGTTTGTCGAACAAACCAAAGGAAAACAAGCGACGTTGACGCTCATAGCAGACATGCGTAGAAGATACTATTTTTAGTTTTATTTGATCGTTAACATATCTTTTTTTCTGTCCCATCATAATCTCCGTAAAAAATCTATAGCCACCTAATTTTTTATGAAAATATCATTTTTCGTAACTAAATAAGAAGTGTGTCGCGTCGCGAATACAGTTCTTAGAAATACCGTTATGGTCATTTTACCGTCATGGGGTTTTCTAGCAGCTGCTAAGATCGAGGGTAGGATTTGCTACGTGACTTTTTCATTAATTTCCAAACTGCGAAACTCGGGCTTTCTTTAATTGCTTTACGACCCTTTATGCCTCGAGTCAGGCAATGAGTGTTCGCCATGTGGGCGAATATTACCTGCGACGGAAGTCCAGTCTCCGCGCGGACCGACGTTACCTTGCCGTCGAGTATAATAGAAAAAGACTTTCCACCAGTCGTAGGGCTTGTAGCTTGTATTAGCCAATGAAAATATTCACTGCGCTTCCCACCTACGCGTCAACACACCACCAGCGCCACGTACACCGAGAGACTTTTCGTTATTAGTTTTCTAAGCAGAACAACACTGTCCGTTAACAAGAACACATTACCCCCGATAATCATAGACATTCTTGTACCAAGTTATTTATACTGTACCTCACAACCATAGTGCAGACTAGTTGATTGTTTAATAAATAAATTTATACAGTCCACTTTTCAATACACTCAAACATCAACAACCCGACGTTTGAGATACGCGGAAGAGTTCGGCAACTAAGTTTGAGCAGCCGCGTACGGTACAAAGTGATTTACTTCTCAGCATCAACTGCAGTTTCATGAGGCTCGTGTTAAAAAGAAATTTTTATAACGTTCCATTTTCAATAATTTTAATCGTTCGCCTTTTTTGTAGCAATCAAAAGTTGAATCTTTTAAGAATGTTCTGTTAAGTTTTCAATGAAATTCATAATTATTATGAAATTTTCGGAAGCCACCTTAAGTGCATAAGACCCGCAGTTTAGCCGTAACAATAGAAACTCACCAAGAACAAGAACACGTGGCTCACTGGCGGCGTAAGGGTGCATTAAGGGTAAGGTCGGAGGTAGCATCGTATTCTGCATCGTTGGCTGGGAATCTATCAGCCGTTCCTGGTTCTGCGGTCTCGGAGGGCTCCGGCTCCTTGGAACATCAAACGACGTGAGCGTATGCGATCTCGCGAAGCTCACGTGCTTCGTTTTCGGGGCTTGAGCCGAGGGCGGCGGAGGCGCGGGCGGCAACACAGGTCGAGGACCTTCCAATTTCGTTGATTCCTCATCCTCTGGAACCCACGTGTACCTTCAATAAAAAAAAAGAACTTTGAAGAACTCTTCCTATCTCGGGTCAATCGAGGGAACGAGCCTCAATCCACGTAATACGAAGGGTGGAGGATATAGTTTATGCCCACCATATTAGTATTTTGCGAATTTCCGCTGAAAGAACGTATAAGGTAAATGTTCCAGTGGTTGGACAAGTCCTGGTGATTGGACACTATCGTGAATTTTTGTTAATAAATTTTTTAAAAATAATAGCGAACTTCAGGATAAAAAATAATTATCCTTAGTTATTCTTTATCATAAATCATATAAAAATGTTCGCAGAACGCGATGTATGATTTAAAAAAAATATTATCATTTAGCAATCATGAACTTGAGGTGACATGAAGGCCTTTGTAAATGTTTCGCTAACATTGAGAGCGCATTTCTTAAGTTGGTAAATAATAAATAACTCGTGTGTTTCTATTAAGTAAAGGTTTCTTGAACTTATTACAGTCTCCAGAATTGATACCAACTTTGTTTTAATAAAACCTTTTTCTTTTAATGTTGAAATTACCGAGTTTATTTACTGGTATATGAGAATGTTGATTGCGTAGTCGTTGGACGCTTGTCCAGTCACTCGAGCAGCATTGAGCAGAGAGTTAGTGTATGATTTAAAAAATTAATGTCGTTATGTTACAGTAGGTATTTTTGTGTTTTCTATAGTAATAACAATATTTAATTTTGGAAGCTTATAGTTTGTTTTACATATTTCAGACGTAAATATCATATTATTTATGACACAACCATAACCTAAGCCAGTGCTGTTCAATTTGGCTCTTCAGATTTATTTTATTATTATATAATATATATATTAAAAAATTCAGATAAAAGTTGAATGGCTTCTTGGGGCAAATAATTCGATATAATTGATATTTGAGTATATATACTCAAATATATGTATATTTTATTTGAAACAGTTTTCAGTATCATCAATGGTTTCAAATATATCCGGGGATTGATTTAATCCTCTCCAACTTACACAGTTCCTTTAATCCTCTCCAACTTGAATTATTTCTATCAAACAAAATAAAAATATTTTTTTAAGTGTAGTTATTTCTGCGGTGTAAGAAAAACAGGACAATTGAAAAAAATAAGTAAACAAATTGTTCATAAACAAAAACGAATACTGATTAAACAAATCCTAAATATTATTTTCCAGAATGTATCCATCTAACGGCAAAAAACTAAACTATACGATAGGCTGCCATATTGAATCTTCAGGCTCATAATATGAGATATAAATGCTAAGTAAATTAATAATTTCAAATGGAATCCCACAGTTAAGAAAAGTTAAATGGCTGACCCTGTATAGTCGTTACTGCACAATTCATCCATTTATTACAAATAATTCACTGTCAGAAGAACATTTGAAATCCTCGAAACGAAAAATTACTGTTAACGACGCAAAAAGAGATTTCGTTATTTCTTCCCTACGATAAAAATATGCCAGCAACTCGAGGTTCTTGCGTGTAAATACGCGTGACTTAACTAGCCGGATAGTCGATAGACATTTATTTTTGCCCGGAGACTCTCGCTTTTTATTATTACGCTGCCGTGGCCGGGGACAGAGAAAGAGAGACAGACACGGTCGCAAATGATGACTGCATTCTCATTTCCATTGTGTCCACTGAAAGCCGATCTCACGTGTGACAGGTATTATCTTCGCGAAAAGGGGGTGACGGGACGCGTTGCTTCTGCGAACGTTGCAACAACGACCTAAATAAATCGCTGTTAGAAAACATAGTTCACATCCCAGGATACGTTATTACGCTATCTTCGTGATTCATTGCCTCTAATTTTAATAGAATAAGAATTATTTCTACTTTTATGTATCACTAGAGGCGTATATTACGGTTTGGTTACAGTTTCAATCAGCTGGTTACCAGTCCCGATATTCTATAGAAATTAAACTCTCATATTTCTACCAGACATCTGAGAAAGTAAATTTTCTTCTTCTAAACCCTGTAACGCTGAATATTGCACCGGTGCAACATTCATTTTAAAAGTGCTTCAAATTCTTCAAACTTTCACTTCACTGATGTGAAGTGAATCCCTACGTTTTTAATTGAGAAATTCAAGTACTTCCTCTAAAAATGAATAAAAAAAAGAAATAGTGGGAAAAGTTGGTCTATTTAATATCGATATTTTCGACTTTAAAATAATTAAAAATAGCATATGTATCAGTCTCATAATTTTGAAATAACAATTTAAGGGTCTGGGTGTTAACCCCCTTGCCATATTTTGACGAGTCTGACTCGTGATAACGATTTTAAACTGAATTTCGTAAACATGTATATTATTCGTTTTCTTTAAATCGACATGAAATACTGTTCCGCTGGTATTAATATTTAAGGTTTCGAATAAATATAATACTTGCCATAAGAATAGAATTCCCTTTGTGTCTGGGAAAATATTAACGATAAAGTAATTCTTGAGAGTGAAGTCGTAAAAGAAATCGTAAGGCAAGGGGTTAAAGAGTTAAACGTTTATCGTACACTATACGGAAAATACAAGTCTAAGTAGACTATATCTGATTAAATGCCAATTTATTCTGTAATGCCACTGATTCTTTCCGTACTTTTTTCCCTGGTTTTAAACGTTCTGTACTGCCCGCTATACGCAACTAGTAAACATTCATTTTTGTATATTGTTGTATATTTGTAAACTATCTGTTTGTTCTTTAGATTTCTCTTGTTAACCCTCAAATGGTCTCGTGAATTTTTTCGTTCATAAACGGTCACGTGCCGTTTGTGAGACTTGTATTTTTAGGAACGTGTATAGCAATTAAATTTTGACAACATTGTTTGGAAGGCGACATAAACTGAATATAAACATTCATTCTTTTGTATCAATACATTAATAAACGTAAATTTCCAAAGAGTCATAATATTATAGATTAAATTAAATTAAATTTGATTTGCTACGACCACGTTTCGTTTGGCTCTTATCCAATGTTTCCATAGACGATAATCCTTCAGAGCATGAATAACTTTATGGGACATAAAGAAACCAATTCTGTAAGTAAATGTAAATTAAGAAATGCAAAGATTTTGTTAGAGTAATTGGTTTCATACATAGTCAAATCTCTAAGAACTGAATGGTACGATGTTCCGGAGAAGAATTATCGTGCTGCTTCGTTTAGTACAGAAACTTAATGACGAACAAATAAACTTTCATGTACGATTATAATAATTCAACGGAAACAATAAATTTGACTGCTCTAATACAGGTCCAATGGTGTTTCATAAATATACCAACCCCAAGTAGAAGTCGTCTTATTTTGATTAATGTATTTATTAATTCACATTTCGTAACTTATAGAATTGTCACTATTTCAGTTGACTTGAAAGATTTTATTTATCTCTTAAGAAGGTTGTTTATAATTTTTTTTTAGATTGAAATGATAGATTAAAATGAAGGATTCTTAGGAAAAATGTGTAGTATTAAAATGTCCTATAAATTTTTAATAGTATTGGGATCCAAGAAAACGTGAACCAATCTAAAGCAATGGATGTATTGTTTTCTTCAGAGCAGATTCAGTCTTCTGCTACAGTGCATAAATACAAAATTGTACCTATGTATTCCATTTCGAACTTTTAAAAAATCCTGTTCAAGCATATTAATGGAACTAATTGTTCATTTTAGTGGCGTAAAACTACTCGAGGATTTTCTATAAACCGAAAAGCAACCCTAATATTTCATACGTATGATGCATTAAAAATTCAGCATTTTTCAGTCAAAATGACTCTATAGAGAAATTTATACATTTCTTTCTAACTTCGTTTCTTAGACATTGTATTGATACAAAATAACTTTTCTTACAATCTTCCATGGAAAAGTCGACACATTCAGCGTTTATGTAGATCATACATTCATGGAACGCAGTGTATGCTCAGTGTCTCAAAGTAATGAAAAATAAAGATTATACGAATATAGAAGGATGACTGTTCAACTTTTCAAAAATCAATAGAATTACCAGTGTTGAATGTATACTAAATCACAATGTATAATATAGCAATACAGAGATACTAATACAGAGTGATAAAAAAAAATTCATAACTTCTAGAGTAGATAGTACTTTCCAAATGATGAAAAAAGGTCCTAATAAACATAGGTCAAAAAATTAATATTTTCAAAGCCATAAACAATTTTTTGTTTCGGTTAAAGTTGTAAAGAAAACTCTAAAAAAGCAAATGGAAACTCTAATAAACTTTCTGTAATCAGGAAAAGAAGAAATGATAAGGTAATCCACTGTCTTCATACGGTACGCTAGCTCTCGAAGCGAGAAAGTCACTCGCAATCTTAATTTTTCGACCCATCTTTATTAGGACTCTTTCATCATTTGGCGAGCACTATTTACTCTGGAAGATATGAACCCTTTTTTTCACTCTGTATAAATACACTTCGGTATATTATTGAAATTAAAGGTCAACATAAATTCTGACTAAAGCGTCATTATAATTTCAGTAATTATAAAATAATAAATCTGCATGGTACATTTAATACTAAATAATTCAATTATCGCACATAAAAATGTGCAAATTATCGATGTCACTTCTGTCTTTATCCTCAAGGGCTCTTCATATAAAAATGGATCGCCACATGGTGCACTTATAACCATACGCTTTGCATGGATGGTCCAACAACGTATAAATACGGTAATTTATCCCAGGAACATAATTTTTTATCGATCGTTTACACGGAACCTTGAAACAACGTCGCCGTTAAAGCAGCCGCCGCTCGCCACTCCCGCCAATCAGAAATAAAACAAACCATTGAACGCGTTATCGAGCCCGCAGTCCTCTTCCTCTAACGACCTCCATTCGTAACAAGCCCCCCGTAGGAAACTGTTAAACAGATCGTCTATGACCAACGCATTTACGAACCATTCGAGTTCCATCTTAACACTTTATCGACGGGGTGCTTTTATAATGAATAATGACTTGCTACTGCGGACATTTACAGAAAATGGGAGAAAGG